AAAGTAACTAGGATGGACATTAGTGCAACACAATATTACTATTTCTGAGCCTGTAAGTTTGACATCTTTGGTAAATTGGCCAGAGCTGGAAAACACTTTTTTATGCTACCTCTGAAAAAATATATACTAAAAAATTGTCATATAAAAGGTTGAGAAACATTACATGACTTTACAAGTAACAATAATTTGAACACCTTATATGTAATCATTTACATACAAATAAATGGTATGTACATTAACTTTATACATTTATTCTCTGTTATAAACCTTAAACATTTTTGGCTAACAAATACTTTATTCACCTTGTTCTCATCAATACATGTTCTTAAGAGGAAAGCAACACTTATTTTTAAACATTCTATAATTCAACCTTACAGTCTTGATTTTTTCAAATTGAATGGATTTCTATTGTACAGATTCAACTTATAATAAAAATTTTCAGACATTGCCGAAAGGCAAGATCACAATCACTGTGATGCTGATAAGTATTTGGGCCACATTTATAAAATATTTCCCTCTGAGCAAAAAGCACTATTTCCTTAAGGATATTTATCCCACTCAGTTAATTTATTTGACACTCAGTTACCACAGAATCCAAGTTGCTTTTCTGGTTTCCATTTGATGTCCAAGGCTAAAGCATATGCCTGTTGCAGTGATATGTGAGCAGCTCTGAGAGCTCCATATAGGCTTGGCTGTTCCCACTGAGATGAGGAGTCAGCTTCAGGAAAGAGATTAGTCGGGCAATGATCAATGCTGTTCTCTTTATTCTTCCTTAAGTCCCAAGAATTGCTCGTTATACCATGCATACATGACAGTAAGTATCAAATATTTGCACATACTAATTTTCCTTGGTGAACAGTTTTTTACAAGTGAGATAGAGGATCATTGTGATTTATAGTTTCAGGTGTATTTTTTGCTGTACAATCAGTCTGACTGTGTCACCTTGGCCAAGCTACATAACTTCTCAGGGCCACGGCTGTTTCATTTGTAAACCATGGAAAAGGATGTAGGTGACCTCCAAGGACCTCTCAGCTTCAGAGATGAGTTTGCAGAAACTTCAAACAGTTTAGAAAACAGAACTAAGACACCTACTGGCACCCCTGGAAGCAAGAGAGCACCAGACACTGTTTATAAGACAGGAGTGGAATGTTTGATTAATTGTATGAAATTGAATTGTAACTGAACCAGTTCATCCAGTTAATTTGCTTTAAAATTAAAGCATTACTTTAATGCTAGACAATAAACTGTAAACAAAAGGCCTACAGAGTTTCTGAATGGTATCAAATCCACTACGTCTAAAACTTTTGGATGTCTATTAATAATTTCAACTGTTTTCTTCCTTCATAATTTTGAATATATATCTATTTGAAATAAAAATTAATATGTCATATATTGCTACACATTTGATAATTTACCTATAAATTATTAGGCCCTTAGGGAAAGTTAGGCATACCATTTCCCAAACAATTATATAGAAAGATAAAAGTTTTAATGGAGTGTTAGTATTGCTTTAAAGACTATGGATTGTAGTAGCTATTCTTATAGAAGGAAGAAAAATAATATGTGTTGAACTCTATGATATTTTTATATTTTTTAAATTTTTATCTTCACCTTAGCCTATTTATTCACTCAGGCAACCTTTATTGAACATGTAGTATGTACAAAGGCTATGTGTCAGTGACAGGGTACCCAGCAAAGTTAGGATGTAGGAGGAGAGATGAACATTACAAAAATGCTCACAAATGCATACTCGTATATAATTTTACTATTCACTGTAAGCTATGAAAGTAAAATACAGGTATTATGAGACCATATATCGAGTGAACTTATTTGGTTTTGAGGATTTGAAAGATGCCAGTTAAAGGGAGTGACATCTAATTTGAGACTTGAAGGCTGCAGCTGGCCATGGGAAGACTGTAGGAGATGAGATTCTTAGGCAGGGAGACTAAAATGTGTGAAGAAACTGAGGAAGTGAAAGAAAGCCGTGTGGCTGGAGTGAAAAAGGGAGAAGGGCATGAAAGGAGCCAGGAGTAGGAGGAGCTAAATCATGGAGTATCTATAGACCATTTTAAGGATTTTCTAGTTTGCCCTGAATGCGATGGCAAGCCACTGAAGGTTTTTCAAAAGGTTAATGGCATGATCTAATTTATACTTGTAATTACTGCTCTGGTTGCTAAATGAGAATGGACTGGAAGAGAAGCAACAGGTCAATCAGGAGGTTCTTACCCTGTTCCAGAGAGAGAGATTGATGGCTTGAACTATGTGATAGCAGTAAAGATAGAGAAATGAATGCATTTGAGATATATTTTGGGGAATCAAGCCACAGGACTGATGACTGATTCCATTTGGAAGGATCAGGGAGAAAGATAAGTCATGGATGACCCTCGGGTTTCTGGATTGAGGAGAGGAAGGCGCTACACATCAAAATGGAAAGCCTAGATGTAGAGTAGATTTGAGAAGAAAAGTGGCATTTCCCCATTTTACAGTGAGTACGCTGAGGCTCAAAGAGGTTGGGTTTCTATTCATAGATATAACTACTAGTCCAGAGCTGCATTACTACACTGTTTCTGCAAGCCACATTACCTTTAATAACTTCCGTGTCTGCTTTGATGCTCTGATACCTTTGGCCTCCACCCACAGTCCTCCAGAATATTGGCACTATTTCATTTGGCTGTAGTAAACATTTCCACTGTGCTGTTCCACTGGATATGTAAGTCTCCTTGAAACTTACAAAGACTCTGTAGCCCATGCAGAGCTCAGGCCCAGCACAGGAAAAGGAAGCTAATGTCTCCACTGACAGAGCAGGAACTGAGCTGCGGCCAGTGGGATGGATAGCAGTGCTTTCATCCAGATTGTGCTCCTGAGTGCTGATCGTCTCTTTAGGGACCCATTGGGGTGATCCTGTCCAACGTTTAATGGTTCCTGAGCTTCAGATCAGAGAAGAAGCCTGGTCCACATAGGACTTGAGGCGTTTTGCTATGGTGGTGAGGACAAACACCCATGGGTTCCATTAGCTAAGTGACATTGTGAAAGTCACTTAACTTCTCCCAGCTGTGATTGCTTCATGTGCAACAATAGGATCTATTTCATTAGGCTGATATGAAGATGAAGAGATAACGCATGTAAAAAGCCTTACTTGGCACATGGCACACCTGCCATAAACCAGAGTTCTATGTTCTAGCTGCTTACTGCCCAGGGGAGACTTTTCTGAAGCATATAATACATTATCTGATACTTGCTAACCCTCACAGTTGTTCATTTCTGTCCTTCTCAATAATACTAGAAACCTTTGCTATGAAGAACCACAATATTTGAAGAAAAAATGTAAAAAAATGTTGGGTTGTCGGAAAAGTCATGACCCATTTTTGCAATGAAAAACATAGAAAAAAATACATCATGACTTTTCCAACTACCCAATAGTAAGTGGCAAAATTCCATTGGCAAGCCTTTGAACTTTAGACACTAAATAAACCCAATGACTTAAATAATGAGTTGATTCAAGTTCTCAGAGCCACTTCCTGTTAAATTCTCTGCAGTTTATCAGAATTCCCCCATAATGCCCTTCGTCTGCTCTCTTTAGCTTATTTGGACATTACTTCCGTTCACTTGGAAGTTTGGAGGCGGATGTACAGATATAGCCACCATGTATCTATGATCCTAAGAGTCATCTGTCGAACTCTTACATCCACTTCTGTAAAGCAATGCAGGCGTCCCTTAGGAAGATGATTTTGCTGCAGGTTAAGCAAGACAAGCCTAAGGCTTCCGTTGCCCTTTTCAGACAGTTTCTGAGATATTTGGCAAAAGCTTTGTTCTTTAAGCCATAAATTATACCATGGGGAAGGCGGTCTCTCATGTGACCGTCCTTGAACTTGGCTGCCATAGTGAGGGTCCTCTCCTTCTGCCTGAGAGGCACAGACACCATTACTATGAAGCTGACTTGCCGTGTGCAGTTCCTTACAGATCAGACGGGCACTGAGCATTTTCTCTCTCAGTCTAAGGTGACTTGTGAAAACTAGGCTTATGGAAATTCAGTTCTGAATTCTTCTTACTGGATGTTAGCAACCAAAGGCAAAAGGAAAAAGGAAAAGAAAAGAATTATTCTGAATGTTAACATCCAAAATATTTTTCAGTTCACCCATAGGCACAAAGAGAGAACTATTTATAATTATTATTATTGTTGCATCAGCATTTCCCAGGGAGGCAGCGACTTTCGTTTTAAACATTTAAACAAATTTAAACATTTGTTAATTATATAAGTCAACTTGTAGACAGTGATGTAGAAGCAGAGGTCTCAGGGTGGTAACAGTGCAGCGCTCCATGCCGGGAATTAGACTGTCACTGTGTTTCGGCAGCAGGCTCAGTCTCACCCACCTCCCTTCCCTCTGTAATGTGCATTCAGTTAAACAAATATTTGATTTCCACTCTTTCACTGATTTCCAAGTCGTGGCCCTCTCCTGGGACTGTCTGGTTTTTGAAGGAGAGGTGTGCCTTGGTTTATAGACCAGATGAACATGTGTGTTTAAACAAATGTCTGTAAATTCAAATCATTTCAAAGTCCCTTAGGAAGCTAGGTTTATAAAAGAAATCCAAGGAAAAAACATTAACAAAATAGAAAATTGTTCTAACAATTGTGACTCATAATCCTATAACTTTTACCTGTTTAATTTTATATTATATTTGTTTATAAAAAGGAACATTGCTAGGAATTAAAAAAAATTAATTTCCCACAATTTACACTTATCTTAATTTCTTTATCCTAAGGACATTGGGGTTAGAAACATGTTCACAAGGGGCTTCAAATCTAGCTATGTTTTATTTCTTAAAAAAGGTACAAAGCAAGTATGATAAAACTTTAAGAAAACTAGATGGTAAGTACATGGGGAGGTGTTATATTATTTTTAAATATTTTTCTGCTTGAAATATTTCACAATAAGAAAGGAGAAAAAATTAAAAGTTGTTTAGGAGATTCATGATTTCCTCTTTTTTCCTTATTGCTATAGAAAGTATTTATCTTTTCTGGAACATTTAGAAAAAATTTGGATCCCTATGGACAATGGACTGATCAAGAAATATGGAAAGTTGCAGATGAGGTAAGGATGCTAACTGAAATATTTTGAAAAACGTAGTTCATACTCACACAAGAGTGGTTGTAATAGCTGAGATAATTTCACACGCCTTTGTGCACGCACATGTGTGCATGCACAACTTTAAAATGGAGGAGTCTGACATACCTGGAGCAACCAGTACTTTCAATTAGAACCTCCCCACCCCCCACCTTGCCCCATGCTTAGCCTCCAATTATCAGGCCCCAGGAGTAGCATTACTTTGGTCTTCTTCCATACTGGTGTGCACCAATGAGACATGAGCTAGGAGACCCAGGTGCCGACAGCACACCAGGCCTGTTCCTGACACAAAGAATCGTGGTCCACACTTTTCCATCTACTCCCTATCTGGGTTCTGAAGTTTCCAGCATAAGGAGGAGGCTTTGCTTTGACATGACGCACTCCTCTAGGAAGTGTGGGTTCTGCACAGAAGGACAATGGTCATTCTAGAGCACCCACAGATGACCACAGTTTTCCCTGGAAGCTACCAGGAGTCAGCTGCCTTATGGAATGCGATGGTTATGAGGCTTCTAGGCACAAGGCTACGTGACCCAGATGTGGCATGCTCCTTTTCTTGACGTCATTAGGACACCATGAAGGATACATATTGACTAAAACAGAATCAGAATTCCTAAATATCACCAATAGATGGTTTATTATAATCGAAGGCATTATACAGGGGAGTTTGGGAGAGAGGAGAGAGCCACAGAGAGATTCTTGGTTCCTTTGAAGAACGCCCTACCTGTAAACTGACAATTCTTGAAATATAGACATCATATTAAAGAAAGGGAGAACATGACTTGCTCTATTTCATTAAACTTGAGGTTTAAGTCCAAAGCTCTGAATGGTGACAGACTACAATTACAGGACCTAAGAACATTGGGATTCCACGGTCTTTTTAGAGAACAACATTACTCCATGATTTCCTGCATTTGGGGTCCTTGTTGTAGCCCAGTTCTGTTTATCCCAAATGTTCTTTCCCTTTCTGCCTTCCTTCAGAGTGGATCTTGCCAGGATCTTTGAAATGTCTGTGAGGGTTAAACACTTACCCACTGAGTACTTAACCTTAACATGCCCCTAATAAAATGCACTTAGATGAACTGTTTTCAGTATCAGAATTTCCTTATTACTCAACAAACAGGGGCTTGAAAGAAAATATTAACTAAATTGGAAGTGACACATTTTAAGATCTTTCATGTGACTTCAGAGAATGAACGATAGGAACATAATGTGATGGGAGAGAAACGGGAAGGAAGACAGTGGACTTTATAAAATTGGCAAGTATTGCCAAGTCACAGTAAAATGTACGGGAAATCAAGATCATAAAAACACCTAAAATGTTAGAAGACATAGTTAAGTTTTTAAATACCAATCGAATGCAAGCACTTTACCTGTTTAGATCTTTATTTGATCAAATGTATTAGGTATACCTTTTTTTTTTTTTAGGTATGTCTTTTTACTGATCCTCTTTGTAATAATTTGCTATTCCTAAATGGATGTATTGACCCTCTCCTTACATTAATGTCATGTGCTTTGAGCAGTGGTGATAAACTTTTGTTGCAGAGGCCTGAAAATAGCATTCAAACAAATAAGCAACAGCAGAAAAGGCATTGGTCTAAAAGTTATAGGGCCTGTGCTTTAGTCCCAAATGGTTGATCATATAACTTATCTAAACAGGAATATTTGGGGCTGTATCAGTTTCTAAACTGGACAGGATACTGGCACAAAAGGTGTAAAACAGGATGATATGGGACAAACTAGGATGTATTTCATCTCATCGAGTCTTCTCTGTGACCTTAGTGTGACCTTAGTGTGACATCTCTGGACAAAAATAAACTGAGTGATGGCAGATAGCCAAACTCCGGAATCCCATCCAGACAATTCCTCCCTCATAATCCCCTTTCCTCTAAATGAAAGTCACAGCACATCCAGTGACAACACCAGGCTAAGAAACATGTGACTTCTAGCTCGGATCTGGACCCAAAGTCCAGTGTGAACCCTTGTCCTTGCTCATCTGGACGAGGCTGCATGGAGCCCTGAGGACCGTGCTTAGTTACTAAGCTGACCCCAACATCTCCCTCTCCCTTTGTGCCTTCGGTACCTACCTTCATCTTGGCACTCTGTAAACTGAGATGGTCTAATTCCCCCATCCCCAAACAACTCAGGGCCACATAACTTCTCGTAAGGAGCACTGCCTTTATCAGCCGTGTAGGTACAGAATCTCAAAGGAGACTGAATCCCAAGGGGGAAAAAGACCCCTAGCATTGTGGCTCAATAAATTAGTAACATTGTAACTTTTTAGGCTTATACATATAACGGGCCCATCCCAGTGCCTGGCAAACAGTATGTACTAAGAACATGTTAGCTATTTAATCATGTTTCCATCTGGTCTTCACCTGGCCATCTCAAATGTTGTAGTTTGACAGAATCCTATTTTTTTGTCTTATTTTATTTATTCTGCCTGGGAAATTTCATGCACCTTCTGTGCTGATGACTCACTCTCACATATGCGTGTTCCCAGGACTCCCAATCTAACACCTCAGCATGGCCCAGCACCTCACATCCACATCAGTGAGTTTCCCGTGTGCCCACCCTCACAACTGTCCTGTGTTCCTACCTCGCAGTGAATGGCTTTACCACCCTCCAGTGCCCAGAGCCAAGAACAAGATCATCCTTGATCCTGGCTTCTCCACTCGCCTCCATATGTCAGGTCCTGTCGAGGCTGTCTCCTGCAAGTATCTAGAATGTGTTTACTTTTCTTCATCCCCATCTAACACCACTACAGCTTTTCTATGAAGTTTTGGAAGAGACTTCTAGCTGTTTCTCTCTCATTGGCTCTCTGTAGTTCATTCGGCTCTTTGCAGCTCTGCAAAGATTTCTAAATATTTCTAAACCCTCCATTGGATCTCTTGTTTCTCCCTCTCCTGTGACTCCCTATGGCCTTTTAGACAAAGCCTGCACTACCTAAGGTAGCTGATAAGTTCCTTCATGATTTGGTCTCTCCCTGCCTCCTAAAATCACTCTGCACCCTCCCCCGCTACCCAAGATCCAGCTCTACTGAATTTCTCTGGTTTCTCAAAAGCACTGTGTGCTCTCTGTTCTCCAGAAGCTTCTCCCATTCTGTCCTCTATGCCTGGAACACCCTGCCAGCCCTTCGCTGCCTGCTGCTGGCACCATTTAGGCCTCTCCTCACACATCACTTCTTTCTAGAAACATGCCCTGATGCTTCCCCCAGGTCTGAGGAAGGAACCCCTCCTAGGTGAACCCTCTCCCTAAGTCCCTTTTTGCATTCTTCACACAGGATAGAGATTTCTGTGTGAAATCTCTATCCTTGTCCCCCACCAGATTGTGGGTTCCTTGAGGGCAGGGATGATGTCTATTGACTGAGGTATTTCCAGTGCATAGAATCATAGAATGGTGTTGGGCACATGGAAGGTGTTCAGTAAATATTGATTGGATGGATAAATGAATGATTTAATTCATTGACGTAAATGAATAGATAAAGGATTCATGTGTACTATATCATGAAAATAGCCGTCTGGTTAATGCATAACAGGTGTCCCCATTAGCAATGCAGATACGGAGCCTTAAGATGTACTCGGTCTGTCCAAGGGACTGGGCCTAGGTCGCTGGTGGGTGGCTCAGGGTTTTAGCAGAGCGAACTGCCTCAGTGTTATCCATAAGCTAAGCAGCAGGTCTGTTGGTTTTAGAATGAAGGCTTTTCTGGGTAATTGCTTGCTTTTTAGATTCCTTATGAAGTAGTTTCCTTCCTTACACACTGATAGCTGGGTAAGTTATTTTTAGAGAGCAAGCTGAATAGCAGAAATTATGGCCTTTTAAGTTGAAAATTTGCCCTGGAAAACCTGTCGAGTGGCAATGGAATGTGTAAGAAGGAGTCGAGAGGGTCTATTTTTATAACTGCCCACTAGTGGACCATTCAGTCCAACCACAGCTCACTTCTCTGGTTTCTGTCATGTTTCCTTGTCACAAGAGCCAACTCTTGCCCCACAATAACTTTCCAGAGGACAGCAATCACAAAAGTCAACATTGTGAAGAAAAGGCCTGGTGCTTTACAGACCGTTAAATAGCTCGTAGTTTGATATGTCATAAAACATTTCTTCTAAATGGCAGTTTGGAAAGTACATACGATTCATCACCCAACTGAGTAAAGCTGGCAGATTCTTTTATCCTAAAGTTCTCTTCTCCAGAAATTGCTGATGCTTTTATTTATTTTTAATGCTTAGCTAAAATGAAAATAACTTAAAATGTTTAGATGGCAGTAATTTTTAATTCACCTTAGCTGAGACAGAGCTAAGCTGAAATTTGTATTTATTTTTAACCTATTTAAAAATGGATTGTGACAATAGTAGAAATAACATTATGTTGGGAATATATATGTGTATACATTATTATTTAAAGGATTATGCTGCTAAAGATCACTAAATTAGACAATCTCTATAGCAGTTTCCATTTCAGTCTATTTTTCCCATAGTTCTTATCTCTTTGAACATTAATTTCCCGCTTACTATTTTTCTTTCCTCCTGGACCATGAGTTCCTTCAAGGCAGGGCCTAGAGTTATTCAACTTTGAATCCCAGGTGTGCCATAGTCCTTAGAATTTAATGAATTCTCATTGAGTCTAGTAAGAAATACATGACTAAGCAGTCTTTTACATCCAAACAGCCAGTTGGTGAATTTAAGCCATTCTTATCACCATATAGAGTTGGTAACACAACTTTGCATCTTTTTAAAAACAATTCCTAGTCTAT